TATGACCAAGAACCCTACAGTTATACTGGAGTTTCAATCGTCAACCTACAGAATCTGGTAGATGAAAGAAAAGTCGTCCATAAAGATTCTACCCATCATTTGGAGACTTCCTCGATACCACCGATTTACGAACAACTGAAATCCTTCATCGTTGAAGATGCAACTAGAACTGGTTTCCCAATCTCACTATTTTCTTCTGTTTCAAATGTTACTGACGTGAAGGTGAAAGAAAAGGCTTTGCTAGAATCCTTCGACAGTCTTCGTCCGTTATACCCAGAACCGATCATGCAGCTCTCTTGTTCGTACAAGTATTACTCAGCAAGTATTGAAATGGAACGTTTGAACTCGATTCAAGGCGAACTGTCAAATGCAATGAAGGACTTCCATAACCAGAATTTTGACTCTCAACTAAACAAGATAATTGACAGGGTTGAATACAGTTTGAAATTACTTTCTTCTCGTGATAGACCTTCACCGTCAATAACGCGAACTAGGCCTGTATTAATGCGTAACTCTCTCAAAGTTCTTGAAGAATGGTACGAGTGTCATCTGGATCATCCATATCCAACAGCTTCACAAGTAGAATGGTTAGCACAGGTTTCCAGTCTGAACACAGAACAAGTCAAGAAATGGTTCGGAAATAAAAGAAGTCGTTCCAAGAATACAAGATCCCTGACCGAAATCGCCAAGGTTAAACGAAGACAGAGACTACTGAAGAGACATTGATTAATTTGTTATTTATTGTTAATGCTTGTTATCTTGTTATGTTTATTATTGACATTAAAATCAATTCCTGATATAAAAGGTTTTTTTCATCATTCAGTTTTGAATCGATTTAAATAACATTAAACAGAGAGACCATTCACACTGCAGTCCAAATATGTAAATGTCGATGATAGACACTTGATGGTTGTTTGTGACCTGGTGAATGACTAGGTCTGTGAAATCTTTAGCGAAATCGCTACCAACATAATCATGCTTTGTGTCTTAGTGATAGATGGGTAATTTCAAATCTATTGATCAATTTGACTATGCGTAATGAAATGCTAACACAAAATCTTATTCAAGTATGATTATGTATCAAAATTAGTCATCCATCGTTATGTTTATAATAAGAATAAGTGTTGACAGTGTTAATTATTTGAGAACTTAGTCAATTTATTGTCTTAGTAGAATTTAGCAGATTTGTATGACGCTTTAGCGAAATCGCTACCAACATAATCATGTTTTGTGTCTTAGTGATAGATGGGTAATTTCAGATCTATTGATCAATTTGACTATGCGTAATGAAATACTAACACAAAATCTTATTCAAGTATGATGCAGCTTAGTGCGATGATGTTAGTTAAGGGTATTTTGATGAAAGGCCTGGAAATCAGGGCAGTTTCGCATCTATTGTCCTTTTTTACATTTTACAAACCCTTTGGAAGTCATCAGTTCTCAAAAGAGGCTGAATGAATCTGTAGCAAACTAGTTATTAACATAATAATTTTGCTTGGTGTCTTTGCTAGTGATGTTGGTTAAAGTTGTTTCGATGGGTGTCTGTTGGGTGAATAAGTGTTTTTGTTCTTGACGACACCAATGAAACATAATAGAACAATATGAAACTACAAAACTAATCACTGAGTGGTTAATCATTGATTTTTAATCATCTACCTGTATTCCATTAATCATCGGGGATCAAAGATTGAGATTATTGACCGCGATGACAATCAATCAAAAACATAAATATGTTTTAATCCAGTGAATCCGATTAGTAATCATGATTGAAACATATAAATAATGATTAACTCCAGTATGACATCATATTCTCAAATTGTCACTTGGCTTTCACATAACTATCATCTTAAGTATGGCTGCTGTTTTTCCAAACGTTTCGTCGTTGCCCGCAGGGAACTATGAAGTATTGGGATTTGGACCACAATCTTCAGAAGGTAAGTACAATTAATTATTTCTTGCTTATATATGTGCTAAAGGTGAAGGTTAACTTATATACTTATCTAGATATATTGAGCACTATTTTAACAGTGAAAATATTTTATTGTACTCCTCTTCCATGCTCAATCCTTTTATCTATTATAATTTGTCTATTTCCAGATTGTGAACAAGTCTTTGATACAAGATTTGATGAATTCTATGACCAAGAACCCTACAGTTATACTGGAGTTTCAATCGTCAACCTACAGAATCTGGTAGATGAAGGAAAAGTCGTCCATAAAGATTCTACCCATCATTTGGAGACTTCCTCGATACCACCGATTTACGAACAACTGAAATCCTTCATCGTTGAAGATGCAACTAGAACTGGTTTCCCAATCTCACTATTTTCTTCTGTTTCAAATGTTACTGACGTGAAGGTGAAAGAAAAGGCTTTGCTAGAATCCTTCGACAGTCTTCGTCCGTTATACCCAGAACCGATCATGCAGCTCTCTTGTTCGTACAAGTATTACTCAGCAAGTATTGAAATGGAACGCAAAATCTTATTCAAGTATTATGCAGCTTAGTGCGATGATGTTAGTTAAGGGTATTTTGATGAAAGGCCTGGAAATCAGGGCAGTTTCGCATCTATTGTCCTTTTTTACATTTTACAAACCCTTTGGAAGTCATCAGTTCTCAAAAGAGGCTGAATGAATCTGTAGCAAACTAGTTATTAACATAATAATTATGCTTGGTGTCTTTGCTAGTGATGTTGGTTAAAGTTATTTCGATGGGTGTCTGTTGGGTGAATACGTGTTTGTGTTCTCGACGACACCAATGAAACATAATAGAACAAAATGAAACTACAAAACTAATCACTGAGTGGTTAATCATTGATTTTTAATCATCTACCTGTATTCCATTCATCATCGGGGATCAAAGATTGCGATTATTGACCGCGATGAGAATCAATCAAAAATATAAATATGTTTTAATCCAGTGAATCCGATTAGTAATCATGATTGAAACATATAAATAATGATTAACTCCAATATGACATCATATTCTCAAATTGTCACTTGGCTTTCACATAACTATCATCTTAAGTATGGCTGCTGTTTTTCCAAACGTTTCGTCGTTGCCCGCAGGGAACTATGAAGTATTGGGATTTGGACCACAATCTTCAGAAGGTAATTACAATTAATTATTTCTTGCTTATATATGTGCTAAAGGTGAAGGTTAACTTATATACTTATCTAGATATATTGAGCACTATTTTAACAGTGAAAATATTTTATTGTACTCCTCTTCCATGCTCAATCCTTTTATCTATTATAATTTGTCTATTTCCAGATTGTGAACAAGTCTTTGATACAAGATTTGATGAATTCTATGACCAAGAACCCTACAGTTATACTGGAGTTTCAATCGTCAACCTACAGAATCTGGTAGATGAAAGAAAAGTCGTCCATAAAGATTCTACCCATCATTTGGAGACTTCCTCGATACCACCGATTTACGAACAACTGAAATCCTTCATCGTTGAAGATGCAACTAGAACTGGTTTCCCAATCTCACTATTCTCTTCTGTTTCAAGTGTTACTGACGTTATACCCAGAGCCGATCATGCAGCTCTCTTGTTCGTACAAGTATTACTCAGCAAGTATTGAAATGGAACGTTTGAACTTGATTCAAGGCGAACTGTCAAATGCAATGAAGGACTTCCATAACCAGAATTTTGACTCTCAACTAAACAAGATAATTGACAGGGTTGAATACAGTTTAAAATTACTTTCTTCCCGTGATAGACCTTCACCGTCAATAACGCGAACTAGGCCTGTATTAACGTATAACTCTCTCAAAGTTCTTGAAGAATGGTACGAGTGTCATCTGGATCATCCATATCCAACAGCTTCACAAGTAGAATGGTTAGCACAGGTTTCCAGTCTGAACACAGAACAAGTCAAGAAATGGTTCGGAAATAAAAGAAGTCGTTCCAAGAATACAAGATCCCTGACCAAAATCGCCAAGGTTAAACGAAGACAGAGACTACTGAAGAGACATTGATTAATTTGTTATTTATTGTTAATGCTTGTTATCTTGTTATGTTTATTATTGACATTAAAATCAATTCCTGATATTTTAGGTTTTTTTTCATCATTCAGTTTTGAATCGATTTGAAATAACATTAAACAGAGAGACCATTCACACTGCAGTCCAAATATGTAAATGTCGATGATAGACACTTGATGGTTGTTTGTGACCTGGTGAATGACTAGGTCTGTGAAATCTTTAGCGAAATCGCTACCAACATAATCATGCTTTGTGTCTTAGTGATAGATGGGTAATTTCAGATCTATTGATCAATTTGACTATGCGTAATGAAATGCTAACACAAAATCTTATTCAAGTATGATGCAGCTTAGTGCGATGATGTTAGTTAAGGGTATTTTGATGAAAGGCCTGGAAATCAGGGCAGTCTATTGTCCTTTTTTTACATTTTACAATACCCTTTGGAAGTTATCAGTTCTCAAAAGAGGCTGAATGAATCTGTAGCAAACTAGTTATTAACATAATAATTATGCTTGGTGTCCTTTGCTAGAGATGTTGGTTCGATGGGCGATGTAGGCATATAAACTTTTTCGCTGGATACACTCCGTACTTTCTGGATAAACCCAGCTATAAATCATAGAGAAAATATTCTCTTTCTCTTATTCTAAAATTTGTACACGGCAATTTTTAATGATGTTAAGAATGACGATTTAATTTTCACGTTTTTTGAAAAATTTGTTTTTTTTTATGTAGTAGTTTTGATAAACATATTAAAGTTATGTTTTAAGGTAGCATCGACGTCGGATTTAACCTACAATCAACATGTTCGCAGTTTATTTACCCCATCCCCTCCTCTACCGTAAAGTGCTCTCTATAGAGTTATTGCTAACTTTATTGCTACCGAGGACGCCCATTGGAAGCATGGAAACACGATTTTCTGAAATCTGGGACCTCCTCTAGATAATTTTAGAATTTTACTCCCTGAAACGTAATTTCCTGACATTTCGTGGCGAATTAAAGATATGGTCGTAACTTCTTCGTTTAGACGTAGATTTACGCATCTTTATACCATTCCTCAAGAAATACCATGTCAGAAATTAATTGAAATTTTGAAGTGGAATAAGTTTGAAAGTGGAGCTCATATAAGTAGCCTATCACAGTCATCACTGTCGTCGTCACTGTCCGTCGTTTCGTCCGTCCGTCCGTCGACAATTGGCTTGTGAACTCAATTTTAATGAAATTTGGTGTGATTATTTATATTCATGAGATCTTAGTCAAGTTTGAATTTTTTTTCGATGAACAGTTTTTAAGTTATTGGTCTTGACTTAGGATAAACGCGTCAAAATTTGTTTATAAACACAATAGAGACTACAGTTTTCACCTGATTTTAATTAAATCCGGCGTGATCATCTATTACAATGTGATCTTGGTTTGAATTTGACAATTTTTCAATGAATGGAATTTGAGTTATTGCCCTTGAATTAGTAAAAATACATCAAATCTGTTGGCAGTTTTCATCAAAACTTTATGAAATTTTGTGTTTGATTAAATTAACAATATCTTGTTAGATAAATCGCTACCAACATAATCATGTTTTGTGTCTTAATGATAGATGGGTAATTTCAGATCTATTGATCAATTTGACTATGCGTAATGAAATACTAACACAAAATCTTATTCAAGTATGATGCAGCTTAGTGCGATGATGTTAGTTAAGGGTATTTTGATGAAAGGCCTGGAA